AGAAAAACCAATTGCTTTATTTCCTAAGATTCTTAGAAACCTCCTCAACAAGCAAGTAATTTCTAATGATTTCTAAAACTTTTATTGGAATCTAGTATATTTATAGCAAACAGTGCCACAAGATTCAGCGTTGTCGATAACCTATGGTTTCATTCAATATTCAAGTCGCGCAGACATCAAGTAAAAGAGCATTTTTTAGTTATACTAGAATTTAAAAAATTTCTCCATTCACCAATAAGTAAAGACAGACAACGAACAATTTGAAAAAAAGTTATGCCGTAACCCGGGATTGAACCAGGGACCTTTAGATCTTCAGTCTAACGCTCTCCCAACTGAGCTATTCCGGCTGGAGGAGGTTGTTCCAAATATTATAATGCATTTGGATTTAATTTTTGAACTGTCTTACCAATCGATTTAATCTAGCTTATATCAATGTATGATTTTCTTTTCATTTAGCAATCAAATCAATGAGTTTGTTTCTCCTCAGTCGTTCTCTTTTATCTACAAAGGGAAAACCCCCAAAAGTCTGTTTCCTAGCAATCTTGGTTACGCCGACCTCTAGTTGGAAGGCAACGAGTGAATACTGGGTAAAGGTTTGAGTTTTCCGAGTAAAACAGGGCGCGAGTTTGAGTAATATAAACATTTCCATCCACCTTGGCCTGTCTCTGTGGTTTGTCTTTGAGTTTATTGAAGTCGACTTGTTTTACTTCACTACCTCTCTTACTCACTTCTGTGTGGTGACCTGGACACATGATTCTGATATTCCTTCTTTCTTACTTTGATTATTCTCTTCCACTCACACTCATCACCACTTTCGATCACAATCATCGATGACATGGCCTCAAGGGCGAAATAGCGGACTCCTATGGACTCCTGAAGTCCAGGAGTGCAAGAGCAAAAGTGTTCATTTTTGGGAATCACTTCCCAAAAAATGAACACTTTTGTTCTTTTTTGGGAAAAGATTCCCAAAGATGGACACTTTTGCTCTTGGACTCCTGGACTTCAGGAGTTCATGTGAGTCCAGGAGTCCATAGGAGTCCAAAGGAGTCCAGGAGTCCGCTATTTCCCCCTTGCCTTCATATCTCACAGTGGGCATTCAGGTTGAAATTTAGAAAAAAGCAGTGAGCTTGCTTTTACGTAATTTAAATAGTGTTTCATATACTTCGACTGACGGCCGATTTAATAGCGAAAGAATTTTTATTCTACGACTTTTCCTTCTATAAAAGATTTGAAATGCAAAAACACCATTTAAATGCGCTATTTTTTCGGAAAATTTCGATTTTTTTTTGAAGGATAGTAAATTAGAATAAAACCGAGATCATATTCGAAAAGAACACAGTCAGACGAATACGAATTCACAGCCATAAATCTTAAAAACCAAAAGGGATCCTTTTCTAAAGACTACATTGTGACGACTTATATTTCCTTCAATTATAAGTCCCTGAGTTGATTGTATGCGTGCGTTAAGATACGTAGTATTACTCTTTTATTCGACTACTCTTTATCACAAACTACAAAAAACTAACTCTAACAAAAGAAAAAGCATCTGATATATACGTTTACTATGCATCATAAAAGATAAGAACCGCAAAAGAACAGAGCAGGAAAATGACAAAAACAGACAATGATTCACGCATTGAGAAAAATACGAAGTAGTCGAACAGAAATACATGATGATCCTTCGCTACTGCGGTTATTAGATCCAGTCTTGAATTGTATTTGTTCATCCTATTACATACAGCTCACAGCTGTTAAATTTACATCTTGTAAAAAATATTCAACGTTTTGCATACATATTTCAATAGATTCGATCAATAGTGTATTTAACAAAAGTCGTTGCAGTACTTCAATAGTGGTCACTTCATCGGCCAACTCCGTAAATAATGCACCGATTTGTTTAAAAATAGATGGTTCTAGATTACTAAGGTAATGCAGACAAGGTTTCACCCTGATCATGAATACTGAGCTTTTCTTTGATCAGTTTGTCGACGCATAATTTCAGTATAGTTTGATCTCCGCAACGAGCTACATTTCTTAGAGTTTCGCAACACTCTGTTATTATAGAAGCCATTACAATATGTATTTTCGTTACCGTCAAAAGAAATCGTGCGCAATAAGTAACTCATCAAGTGAATGCTTTATACAGGTAAAACTAGAAAAGAAGGACTTGACTTTATTAAGATACATAAACCCACAGTTATTGTATTTATATGTCACCACTTCTTTATAGAAACTATAAATTTGAAGAGTGACAATCATTATATCGGGTGCGTCATAATGAATGAGCCTCTCAGTATTTTCGAATTACGGCATCATACTACACTATCGTCATATATATCGAAAGTTCCTAGCGATGTTCCTATATGACGAATACCCTTCGGGAACTTAGGGTATCAAAGTGTAAATTTTCAAGCAAAAATCTAAGCTACGTGAAATTAATGAAAAAATGAATGGTACATTCACAATATTGCACAGTCAAGTGATTTAGTTTCGCCTTATGCTGAAATTGCATGTGTTCGTGCAATATCGTTAATTTAGTCCGAAAAGAATTAGTTTTCAAAGTTAGTTGTGACTTTATACTTCTCTCTGCTGAAAATCAAAAAGGAATGTGGTTACTTTAATTCTTTTTAAGTTTTTAAGCTACAGTTTTACAATGCACCAATGAGGTTTTCCATGATAATTCAAAGAGAAAAGATGATAGTTTAGTGCAGGGACCAATTGTTTCCTACCTTTTGATTTAATGTAAGATTCCACTTTTTTCTAATAAAAACTGACGGGTTTCATCACTTTGCAAAGATAAACAAAAACTCCAAGATGTAGACTGTTAATTCAAGAAGCATAACTGAGTAAACTATCGCTTAACTTGTAACTTTACAACTTGCAACTACATATCCAGGTGGGTGGTTGCAGTGAACAAAAAAATTAAAACAATATATGTACAGTGGATTTCTTTTTCAAAAACAGCAAAAATTGATATCCGTCTAGAAAATTTTTTTTCCAAAAGAAAGAGTTTCTAAATTTTGTAACGCGACACTTCGTTGATCAAGTTTTCTTTCTTTTTTCATCGAAAAATCCATAGGAGCCCATCGTCAGATGTCCTTTTTCATGCTGATCACCAATTCGGCCTTTATTTTGAAAAAAACTGAATTTTCAATTAAAAAATTTAAATTTAAAATTTTTGAAAGCTTTAGTCATAATTTTCTGATCTAGAGATTTTTGTAGAATAATTTTAAGAATATACTGTGGAATAGAAAATTAAATTCTTTACAAAAGGCTCGTTTTGTTTTGAGAAATATTTTTCAGTTCACTTCATACTTATAGTTTGAGTACTTCAGGAAAGCTAGAAGTACTCAAGCTATAAGTATGAAGTTGTTTGTAGAACGCGGAGTGCCCTAAAATGGTGTGACAAAAAAATGTGTAACAGCGTTACGTTTGTTTTTTGCTGTTTTTAGTTAGAAGAAGATCTTTTTTACTGCTGAAATGCTCGTTCGATGCTCTACAAAATTTGCTCTAGGGGCATTTCATTTGGAGAACAACTTTCGCAGGAAATTAGAACTTTAGCAAGAGCACTCCGAATTTAGGGTCTTTATAGCACTTTAGACGAACATTGATAACATACGATAAGAAAATCTCCACGAAAATTTGATGACATTAATAATTTGAAAAATTTTGGTAAAATAAACGTTTGGTAAAATAAACGTTTGGTAAAATAAAACGTCTACTTTTCGTCCCATCTAGATTTCAAACCTAGTAGCGGATCGAACCCATGTCAGTGGCACCCAGTGAATTTAATTAGGAAAAAACCATTGTATTTTTATACTCAAGCTTGAAAAAATTTCGTGATAAGTAAGACCACCAACGGCTATGCCATAGATCCGAATAAAATGTAGGACCATTCTTGGCTGTTTAATTCTAGCATTGCCAAGAATGTTGAACGTGCTGATCTTTTCTAGAAATTAATACCAGAATCCAAGATGTTTATGTGTTTCTTACTTGGCAACACATCTTTAAAGTTCAGATAATGATACAACGACTATTTAGATAAAAAGCAAGACAAGAAGATGGTGGGTTTTCTAACGATGCTAAACGAACTTCGGAACCGTTATTGAGCTTTGAACTAGTTATTACCATTATCTAAATTATATTAAAATTTGATGTTTTTTTTCTAGAGAATAGGTCTCCAGGATTTTTACATCTTCGGAACCAGCACTTACCCTGTCCTGGACAGAGTAAGTGGTAAACACTACCTTCCATATCGCTTCTCTATACAGAAAGAGCCACTATCTACAGAAAGAAGTCTCTATCGTGTGAATATAAAAAGACAGAATTTCATCACAATCATAATTTTATCTATTCCATTCTGTGTAAACATCGGAGCGAACCGAGTCCGTGTTTAACATGACACGTATTATAAGCCTGGAAAAGAACATGAGAGTGAAGTCTAGAGTAAATTATGTTTTATTAGGGTTACAAAAGTTCTTTACAAATTTTCGCAGTTCGAAGGAGAGAAAGATCATTAATACTTTACCTACTATTGAGTTTTACATGATGATAATAGTTCTTGTAACCTTGCTAGATCTACTTTTGTGGCAGCTTCTCCTCTCCTTCCTGCGTCTGTCGTTTGACTTCGACCTGCAGCTGCATTTGTTACTGATCTTGGTGGAAGAGGAAATATTTTCTCAATTTCTTTCTTAGCTATTGGATGGAATTGTTTGTAGAATGCCATGAACATCTCATTCCTCTTGTCGTATGGCATTAGCATATAACTTGAGTGTAGTTTCAAAACAATTTCGTTGAAGCCATGATAGTATGTTTTCAAAGTTCTTTCTAATTCAACTGCTGTTGGACGTTGTTTTGGATCAGAATCGATACAACGGGTGATTAGTTCTGAGAGAATTGGACTTTGTGTTGTTAATGTCTTTCTTCCAGTAAATATATCAAACTTGTGTTTCGTTTCAGTGAATAGTTCATTGAGTGTTAATCCAAATGTATAAACATCTAATTTTTGATCATATNTTTCGTTGAAGCCATGATAGTATGTTTTCAAAGTTCTTTCTAATTCAACTGCTGTTGGACGTTGTTTTGGATCAGAATCGATACAACGGGTGATTAGTTCTGAGAGAATTGGACTTTGTGTTGTTAATGTCTTTCTTCCAGTAAATATATCAAACTTGTGTTTCGTTTCAGTGAATAGTTCATTGAGTGTTAATCCAAATGTATAAACATCTAATTTTTGATCATATTCACCAGTTTGGAATTCAGGTGGCATGAACTGCTGTGGACCAATGTGAGTTATTGCAACATTTGGATCCAAAACTCGTGCAATACCCATGTCTCCAATTTTAGCAGTGTAATGAGATGTAACAAGAATATTATCAGGTTTAATATCACGATGTATCATTCCATGCTGATGTATCTTACGCATACCACTAGCAATATTTAAAGCCATCTCCAGTTTACGACGTAAAGAAACATTTTCCTTATAAATGACACGCGTCAAACTACCTTTATCAAGATATTCTGTGATCAACATAAACTTGAAATCATTATTGTGTAGATGCTGATATGAATAACCATAGATTTTCAAGATAAACGCACCAGATAGCTCTCTATATGCAGCTAATTCTTTTAAAAAAGCTTTTACGTCTGTTTTTGCAGTTTCAGCCCTTGCATGTATTACTTTACAAGCCACGGTCAGGTTTTTTGATAGCCATTTAGCTTTATAAACTTTACCTAAATGAGAATAAAACATATTGTACTTATGTACTTGTATTATTTCCTTAGCTTTTTTCTCTCAGAGTTCAGTACTTACCAAAAGCTCCCCCACCCAGAAAATCATCCTCATCATAATCAATATCTCTCCTATCGATTTGTGAAAGGGATGCATTGTGTGCAACAATCATCGGATGATCCGATTTATGACCTTTATTTGTTTTTCCATTATCAACACATTGTTGACAAAGATCATAATCTGGACACGTATCACATTTAAATCTTAGACCTTTGAAATCGTCTTTCCTACAGAAATCACAATAAATATTAGTATTAACTTCATCTGCATATTCTTTCTGTAAATTTGTCATAGTAACATCTTTGTAATTATCATATTTTTTACCAAAGAGTTCATTTGGTAATTTGAAATGTGCCATTGGATGACCACTTTTATGTTGAGCACTTTCTTTTCGTCTGTCAAAACATCTTGCACATAGATCAAAATTTTCACATTTTAAACATTTATATCGATCAATTTTAAAACCATTTATACCACATCCGTCACAGGAAACTCGATGATATTCCGGATCATCACAATCACTACTTCTATCAGATAATAGGTGTTGTAATAATAGAACGACCAATTTAGCTAAATTCTCCTGGCTGGAATCATCTCCTATTCAAAAAAAAAAAGCTATATGCGTACATGATGTTCTTCAGTTTGATACTACAGTTTTCAAAACAAAAAAGGTAACTATAGAACAATTAAGAATGCATTTTGTACTTCCTTCTGAATAAAAAGGGTAGAGCACAAAATTTATTGTTTTTATGTGTTTAAAATTGACATTCTGCTGTTTGGTCCTACTCTCTTCATCGTCGTTGTCGTCGTCGTTATGTTTGCCGGCACGTTCCATATACTGTATGTCCTATATCCTGAAAGAACGGAAGATTTCTGATTAAATACGGGTCATTCCACAAGGATTCTACCGCGTTATACAAAAGTTTCGACGCATACGACGAGAGACACATTTATAGTGGAAATCGCAGGTCTCACCCTTTGTAAGAAAAAAGCTATAGGCAAAATGCGTCTTGAGCGGAAAAGCTCATTTCTCTACAGAAATGCAGTCTATTGCAGAGCTCGTGTAGAACGCCATTCTGATCATAGAACTTTAGTTTTGATCCCAAATGAGAGATCTCGCCTAGATCTATTCGAATTCGGGGAGAAAACTCATACGACTTTTAAGGATACAGAGCTAGAGGTTCGAAAGAGCCCTGGTCTTTAAGAGAATTTAACCAGCTTTAGTGCCACTCAGGGCTCTTTTCAAAGATATGAATGAGCAGCCGACTCTGTTCTGAGTAAGATGAGCGTTAAGCGAGTTTTTAACACGTCTCCTTGCAAATCTGGAAGCGTCTTAGTGTGAGTAAACCAAATGAAATACCAACCAAAATGAAACAACCTTAACAGATTATCGCTCATCTTCGTTTTTCAGTGGTCCTGATATGTAATGGTTTCTGCAAAACAAAACGGTGATTGTAAACATCGGTTTACCGCTGGGTATATTGTTATACCGCGCGGTATACCAGGCGGTTTAGCGACGGTTATTTTGCATACCACGGTTAGAGAAAATAACCGTCGCTAAACCGCACGGTATACCGAATGGTTCAACCGGCGGTATTTCGTTGAACCAGCGGTAGTCTCAAAAAATGCGCGACATGGGAGGTTTCGTACAGATTTACCCACATACGATTGTGTTTATTAAGTGGTTGAACTGCTACTTACCTTTAGAAATAACCAATTAAATAAAAAGACTTTGATGTAGTTACCTCAGAAGAGTCTGTTTTAAGATCTTATTACCAGACTGTAGTTTTATCTATAAATGGAAAAATCACAAGAAACTGCTGAGCTCTATCTACGAAAGACATCCATCTCTAAACAGTCTAATACTCTATATACAGGATGACTTTGAAGGGAGCAATACACGACCTTCGATTACTATACTTTTAAGACAGAAAAACAAAAATAAATAACAATCTGTCGTTCAAAAATAGAATGGTAAAAAAATGTTGTAGAAGTCATTGTAGTATAGAAAACATATATATGTCCTCTTTCTACTTGAGAAAAATTAAATTTCTTTGTAGTTTTACGCACAAAAAAGAAAAAACAACTAGAAGAAAGCTTTAATTGTAATATCCATTAGAGTTTTCTTTTTACACTTTTTAATCACGTGACACACATCAAATATGACATAACACATTCTTTAACCGGTACAATCCCAACAAGAAATGTACACTTGGATTTTTGCCTTGTATCACTAATCAAAGATTGATAAAATCTCATGACGATCTCATGTGAGATTACACATAAATGATACTGAATAGAAACACCATACATATCATTTAAATGTCTGAATTATGTTTTCCTTTTTTTCTACTCCGATGTTTCGTTTTGTAAATTGCGGTAACAGACAATCTCTCGAACACTATCAAGGTACTACTATCATTCTATGGCAGAAATGCGATTTGTTTTAGCGAGCAATTTCCTTCGAATATCCTCACGTTTTAACTGGGCTTCTGTACACTAGAAAATTACTCTCAGAATCCTGTGCTTATAATTCATTATATTATTATGCTTATTGCTAGCTCGATGTAGTATATTTTTTTAGTGAATTAGTGACACACAGTGTGCATTTTTACAGAAAGCAGGCGTACATTAGCCTTTTAAAGCTAGAAACAGGTTCTTTCTTCATAGGTTGACGTTTGATGTCTCAAGAGTCCAATAAAAATGGAAAATAATTATTTTCAGAAAAAACTTTTTCAGCAAAAATCTTTGAAGTGGACCTTTACCGTAAATTTTTCTAGAGAAATAAATGACGCAAAATGACCGACAATTTATATATCAGTTTATACAGTTTGTCAATGCTGATTCAGAATATGTATACAACGTCTGCATAACGTGTTTTCAAGATAAGAAAAATCGATATCACCAGAAAAACTTAGAATATTTCCAAAATCAAACTCAATCCAGCAAAAAGACATATGTACTGGTGATGCCGGACACCGAAAGGAATATATTGGTATAAGAATGACCCGGATTTGACTTCCGCTCGGTCGCGCGTTTTGATTACACCGAAAATTTGCTAGTTTTACTCGGTTCATTTTGAAAACAGCACACATTTTGGGGCTAATCATCTACTAATTTTATTTATTTATTTATTTTCCATTTCTGAATAACAAATCTTTTATTCTTTCAGAAAATATATATTCAATTCTTATAGACTTGCGAGAAAATGAATGTTCCACTAAACATTCCTAATTTCGTCAGTTGTTTTTCTTATACATTTTCTCGGGAATGGAAAGTCGTAGAACTGAAACTTTACCGAAACAATTACCGAAGAAGAAGAAGGAGACACCAGAAATTTGTCTATATTTTTACTAAATTTCGATCAATAACTCTTTGTCGTTATCGGTTATGCACAATGACTTCTTTTTGCTTTCTCTATTTATAACTCGACACATACGAAAAAATATTATTCACAACGACAACGTAATCCAATCATTTCGACATCATGAAGTATGAAGAGTATGAAAATACGCAAGCTTATAGTTGAGAAAAACCATAAAACAAATAGTGACAGGAGCTGTGTATTGACGTAGCAGAACATAAAAGTAACGTTGAAAATGCTTCTTGAGAAAATAACTTCTGTTTTCACAAATTTTTGTCGTTCACAAAACTTCTAAGAGGAAATGGCTGAAAGTAAACAGAAGCCGTCATCGCCGTCTTCAGGCGTCGCGAACCCTGCACGTACTGTGTTTGGCGCTACCTAAGATCCACGTAATGTAAACTTAAAACGAAATTTACTTTTGGATATATTATACATATTCCGAATCGGCAGACGATGCTGATTACGAATATAACCTTGTTAGGCTCGAGAAACCCTTTCTACATTGAGAAAAATCGGAAACACTGAAAATACCCGAAAAGTGCCAAAAGTTTTCGTTTTGAGAAAAAGGTCTGAATTTTTTTGTTAAGAGGATCTACAAATTTTTGCTTATCATTTTCAAATTTCTTATTGAAAACGGACTTCAGACAACCTATGCGCGAGTTCATGTACCCTAATACAGATGTTTTGTAGGCCCCGAAACCTGTTACACTCAAAATCCGAGAGCCTTTGCTCAAAAACCTATCTAGTTTTTTGTGTGGAGACCTAGAGCTTTGATTCGACCACCATCAAATTGGCCAGTGCTTCAGCTTCAAAAGTACGGTTCGTTTTTTAAAAGGTTATTTTTCCTTGCTGAGAAAATTCATTTTTTCTAAATCGGAGGCGAAAAACTCGGAACGAGTCTCCTCGTATTTCTCAATTTTCTCGATCATAACTCAATTTCTGAGCAATACAAATATCATATTCGGAATCAGGATCGAAAACTGAGTCGTGTGATGTGTATTTATATATTATCCGACTACTTTCACTTTTTTCGAATTTTCACACTTAAAAAATTACCGAGATTTGCACCCAAAAATGAAAACGAACTAAAAATTGCTAAATTCTTGAGCTTAATAAGGTTATGTTCGTAATCAGCGTCGTCTGGCGATTCAGGACATGTATAATGTATCCAAACTTTAAGTTTGCATTACGTGCATCTTACAACCGAAAATACACAAAAAACTTCGCAGTCGAATCGGGAAGCTGACCTTCAGGATCAACTGAATGACCTAAGATGGCAGCTAACGTCCTTGTTGTTGGAAGTTGTGGAAGAGTCGTAAATGGTAAATTTGTGGAAGAGTCATGGCGGATCTGTTGTCGCGGTAATGTGGATTCGCGCCGACGTATCCTCTAGCACTGTCCACACCCTACCTCTCGACACACACTGGCAAAATATCTTTCCTAGCGAAAATTATTCAAAAAATGGCCAAGGCTCTTGTATTTTGGAACGGATAGTAGATTCCTCATCTGCGGTGTTTGTCGAATGATGATTAGGGACGTTTGAAATGACATAAATTTTGTTATCTTCCTCAACACTCTCAATGTATATGTTATATAGATCAACATTAAATAATTTAGCATAGTTAATTATTTTTCGAAGTTCTGGAATTTTGTTTCGACTCGATTTGCAGTTAACCAAATTAAATCGATGACTGCAAATTGCGATAGCGATGACAAAATACGTTGCACACCATCTTTTTCCAACTTATATGGTGTGTGTCAGACGAAGGTAAGCAGTTGTTTATTTAAATTCTTTTCGTTTCTTCACTCATAGTTCGAAAATAATTTCCTAAAAGAAGCACTTCACATTTCTTTTTATACTAGAAATAACAGAAAAGAAAATATGAACTACTGTTTGCCTTCTCTTATTTTCTGAGATGTAAAATCGTTTAATGTTTTACTCAAAATTCATGAAAAAAATAAAACTGTTGGTTCAGGAACGGATTTTTCTAAAGCTTTTGCATTAATAAACACAGCAATTGAAACTGCAAATAACAATAAGGTTACAACGTTAGTTCATTCAATTATCTTTCTAAGCGATGGTGAAGCAGCCTATCCCGGCAGAGATTCAGACGTTTTGAGTAGTCAACATGCTCAAAGTAAGAACTTTAAAACAGTTGCAACTCCACCTAATAAGCCAATAATGGTGGCAATCATGTAGATTAAATCAGCTTGTTTTTGATATGTATAAGTACATTCAATTAGTTGACATGTAGAATAATATTGATCCTAGAATATTTGATCATTCCATTGTTCAATCATTAATTGTTGAACAATTTCACCGATCGTTGTGGTCACTTTGTATTGACGTTCTAAAGATGAATTCATTATGGTTTCATTAAACGGATATACTGATATATTATATAAATATGTGTTGATTGAATTCAAACAAGATTGATTAATAAAACATTCAAGAGTGGATAAAAGTAATG